CCAAAAAGAAGACTCAGTGCATATTACAGTGGTGCCTCGCAAGACTAAATTAATTTGTTCTGCGAGTTTTTTCGTCTTGCGAGTTTTTTCGTCTTGCAAAGCACGGTTTCCATTTTTTCAAAAAAATCTTCAAAAACCTCAAAAAAGGCTACCACACCGCGTGCTATGAGTTGCTCCTCGAAGTCAAGTCGCAACTGCACCTCTTCAAGCAATGCACCCTGTATTACTGTAACGGTTTTAAGAAAAAGGAAACAAACTTGCAAGACGTTTCCGTCTTGCGAAGCAAGCCCATAGGGAAATTCGTCTCGCAAAGCAACTGAAAAAACCAAAAACTCTTTCATCTTGCGAGTTTTTCGTCTTGCGAGGCATTCGTCTTGTGAGGTACCACTGTATTATGTAGTAAAAAAGGTTTATTTATTTATTATATTTATTAAAATATTACTAATTAGAGCACCAAATTAGCCAGATAAATAAGAGAGGCACAAGACTTCTTCCTACACTACTGCTGCCTACAACACACCCCAGCCAGCCATCACTGCTGATGTCTCCATGCAGCAGTTAGCCTTTCACCCTATGGATTATCTTAATCATGCCAACAGTGAACTCCCTTCCAGCTTCCACTCGTATAAGAAATGGTCCTGATATGAGGCTGTAAGTTTCATCTTCCAGGTCCCTAGTTGACCAATATCTTTCAGTATGGTTGGACAAATCTCAATTTTTCCATTCAATTGATGCTTTGAAGTTTTCATTTTAAATGCCACTCGGTATCTATGGTGCATATTGTGAGTAAATCCATCTCATATATATGTTTATCAAAACACATATAAAAAGTTGATGTTGTATTACAATATTCAGACAAACCTTTATATTCTTCCTTTATTGTTTGCACCATTTCCTTCTGGCATGTAGTGAGCCATTTCTCATAGTTTACCTATTACAGGAGAGGCAATAGTTGCATCGTGGTTTTTCCAGTTGGGCCACTCTCTTGTCCTCTCCCCCATCCCACTTTTCTGTCATCAGCTTTAACTCCCTTGAATAACTATGGATCTCTCATTCTTTCCCGTCTGTCTGCCAGCTGAGGGAAACTTCTTTCTCTGTGGTTTTAACTCAATAATTGCTGGTCTTACCTCAGCAATGTATCAGAGGGAGGGGGGACATTAAGAAATATCATGGTGGTGAACAATACAGCATCAACAATAAATTTACATTCATAAAACAAGATTATTGATGCTGTTATACAGTTTGACTGTGGAATTTGGCTAGTCATTGTTGTGGGTTAACCTGAGGAAAAAGACAGTCCAGTCTATTAACTGTACAGTACAGTCATAATATTCTAAAATAATTCTAAGTGCAGATCCTTCCAGTGCACCCTTTTCAGGTTCAGTTCCTTATGAGGCATCATATTAAGTACAAATGTCCATAGGCCTATACAGTGTTGCAAATCTTTCCTTAAAAAATAATAATCACAAATCTTCCTTTCTCTGATCAGAAACTTGATTTCTAAAACTCTGTCTACTACTCCTATTTGAAAATTTGGGATACAGTTGCAGCACTTCTCTGCCTGGGCTCTACACTGTAGGTTTCAGATAAGCTCCTTTGCTATTTCAATCACAGCCCACCTCTGACTCAAGAATTCTAGGAAGCAAACTTTATGCAGGACATAAATCAATCTGTTCAATCAATTATTATATTAAAATCAATAGGGTTCTTAAGCTACGTTCTCTGCTGTGTTAACAAAACTATCATTTAAGCAGTGCCTGGAATCCATTGCTCCTAAAAATGTCCAGTATGCAATAAAATGTTCACCATTTCCCCGCTTCTGTTTGTGTGTGAATATCTTGCTCTTAAGCCCCATTTTCCTTGAGGAAACTAGTATCTCTGTGTCCAGTTACTGGAAAGCATTCAAAGGAATAAAAGATGGCATGCACTTTAAAAAAAAATGTTTTATGGTTTATTGTGCATTGAAATTTCTAAAAATAAATATTTATTGTAAGCTGCCCAGAGAACTTTTGTGTTAGTTATTTGCATAGTTAACAAAGAGGAGACACAGTGCCATTGCATGCCAAGCTTCAGTGTCCCAACCCAGTGATCACCAGCATGATGCCTGCAGGCACCACTGTGTTTGCCAGTACTTCTTACAGCAACCATGAAAGTTCTCAGTTTATTTGCCCTCAAAAATCTACACTGAGCAACAGAATGTTTGTTCTTCCTGCTGAACTCCTCTTTGCACTGGCTTGGCTTCTCCTGGATTTAGCATACTGCCTTAAATATGCCCACAGTAAATTTGATGCCAGGATTTGACATCCACCCTTCCATTCTGAAAAAAGAAGGTGTGCAAATAGCTTCTCTCTATGAGAGAGCGTGGCGATGGCTGACACATGTGGCTTAGATCCACAATTCTCCCTTCTGATAGTTTGCTGCTGGCCTCTTCTCTCTTTCCCACCTGTTTACCTCCTTTACTGGAAGCAAGGTTTTATTTGTGCTCTCGCCTTCCTCTGTCCATCAATTTTCCTGGAAGGTGGTGGAGAACCAGACTGAGTGTTGCTCTGCAATACCAATTTGTCATGCCAGCTGCCTGAGCCAAATATCCCAGAGCTTTCCAGGATGTCTAAAGCAGTGTTCAGCAAAGTAGAGAATTGGTCAGGAGTAGTAGCTGTAGTTAAAAAGGACATTATTTCCTAAGAAGCCAAATGTGTCTGGGAGTGCATACAAATACATCAAAATGTTTTAGAAAACCTCAACCACAGAAGAAGAAATAGCCTGGTGGGCCCGATCAGGCTGATTTAGTGGAAATACTTGGCTTTAGTGTTGGACTGGGAGCCCAGTAGACTAACGTTTGTTTGTTAGTTATTGATATGTCCAGCATGAATGGCAGCTCTGAAAGGTCTCATGTGTTTATTGTCAGCCTGCCAGCAAGCTCCCGAAATGATTGCCTGATCTGACATCAACAATTACATTGCTTCATCTGGTGCTGCTTTGTTTCTTATAGCAGGTAGAGATTTATTTCTTTTCATTGTGTGAACTGAATAATCCAGAAAACAGCAAAGTGAAAAAAGGAGGTATGCGCAAGCATTTATGATACAGTAACTTTCGTAAGGTAAAGGTAAAGGATTCCTACATGGTTAAGTCCAGTCAAAGGCAACTATGAGGTTGCGGCGGTCATCTCACTTTCGGGCCGAGGGAGCTGGTGTTTGTCCACAGACAGCTTTCCGGGTCATGTGGCCAGCATGACTAAACCACTTCTGGCACAACAGGACACTGACCTTTAAAGCCCTAAACAACCTCAGCCCTGTATACCCAAAGGAGCGTCTTCACCCCCATCGTTCTGCCCGGATGCTGAGGTCCAGCACTGAGGGCCTTCTGGCAGTTCCCTCACTGTGAGAAGCAAAGCTACAGGGAACCAGGCAGAGGGCCATCTTGGTAGTGGCGCACGCCCTGTGTAACGCCCTCCCATCAGATGTCAAAGAGATAAACAACTACCTGACATTTAGAAGACATCTGAAGGCAGCCCTGTTCAGGGAAGCTTTTAATGTTTAATGGACTATTGTATTTTAATATTCTGTTGGAAGCCACCCAAAGTGGCTGGGGAGACCCAGCCAGATAGGCGGGGTACAAATAATAAATTATTATTCTTATTATTTGCTGCTGAGTGAGGGCAGTTGGGTCCATCTAGCTGGAAGTCTTGCAAGATTTGGTCCCTGCTCTCTGAGCCATTTCCACCTGGTTTGGGTGTAGCTGGACCTTGAATGACTCCATGTACAAAGGCTGTTCCTGCTGGGGGGTAACATTCCTTTGGGTTCTCCTTTGGGATGTGATGGGGGTGAGAACATCTGCCCAGGACTTGCTCCTAGGTGGGAGATTGGAATAGCCAGAGGTGAGACAGGGTGTGAGTTAAGCTGTATTTGAGGTCGGAGGTAGAATGTTGGGGAGCTGGGTCTGCAATGAGGGCATGAATGCAAGTCAGGGATGTATATCCAATGTGAGTCTTGGGTATTTGGTAGTTTTGCTATTTTATACTGTTCAGTTTTATTCACTGTATTCATTATACTTTTGTTTTCTCTTGTACTAATATTCCGTTCACAACTTTGCGGGGTTTAGAGCCAAAAAGCAGTATATAAATAGACCAGATTTTAACATACTAACAAGAAGAGTGAGAACTTGCACGGACCTATTCCATTTATCTTGAAAAGAAATACAATCCTTTGCAATAAATGTGCCGGTTTTCAATACTCAAGGTTTATTTTTAAAAACCTAAAGCCAACACTGATTCATTCAAATTCTAAATCTAATTCTGCTGTGGTTACACAGAGATATATATAAACGAGTCTGCTTGTTGCCAGTGATTTAAACACATACCACTATTACTTCTGCCATACATGCACCAGCATGTAGATAGCAGATTCAGCTTTGAAATAACCTGTTAGGGAGAAATTTACAACAAATCTATATATAACGCTCTCAGGTTCTTCAATTTTAAAGCAGCATCCTATGATAAGCTAGTGAACTAGCTCTGCTCTTCTTGCCCCTGAAAACTCTCTATTTTCCAGCTAATCCTAAAATATCTGGTACAACGCCACTTGCACACGAGAATCCAAGTTCAGGCTGATAGTATTTGGCTCCTGCAAAAGTGATGGTCATAAGAAAGGGGGTGGGGGCTTAGGCTGTGTTCCTCTTAGGGATGAAGAAGAAATTTGATTTGGTTTGCATTTAAATGCAAAGCTACCAAACTCACACTTTATGAAACAATACACAAAACAAAACACAACTATCCTCACCATCATCATCAAACTTTATACGGTCACAGAATAGCATAAGATAAAAACATGCGAATAAAATAAAGCACATAAGACTTTAAAGAAGAAAGGGATAGATGCTAATAGTTAAACGCGATTATCAACTCACATAAACTTAAAACAGATAGGAACAAAAGACAAGCATTTAATAGTGACTATACTTACCTGGCAGGGGTGATACCATAATCAAAAAACACCACAATTGTTTCTTGGATAGCTCAGTTGGTTAGAGCATGGTGCTGATAACGCCAAGGTTGTCAGTTCAATCCTTGAGAAGTCACACCTCTCCAAATTTTGCAATGCAGTTTTCCAACCAAGTATTAATATGTTCAAGAATACAAATATTAGGGTAAAATTTGCTTTAAAATGCATATGCTAGTAAAACTCACATACAAAAATGCATTGTATTAGGGAGAATTGCTTTGTAAGAATGTGTATATAAAGTGAAATGTGCATTAAAGTGCTGATGGATTTGAAACAAAAACAGTTCATCTGGCTGTTAAGCAGAAGATTGGTCGTTTGAGCCAACCCAGAGATAGCAGTGGCTACATTGCAGGGGGTTAGAGTAAATGACTCTCACAGTCCTTTTCTCTACAATTCTATGATAATTATTAAAAAAATCACATCTCACTGTGGAGAAATGAATTAAAATTGGTAAGTGAGAAACTGAGAGAACCAAAACTGACAGATCCATCCATTCATCTCAAAAAAAATTAACCTGCAGATGCTTTACTGTCTCCTCCTCAAGCCATGTTTAAACTGATTTAAAACCAATGTTTGTTTGGAGTTTCCTCACTCTTAGTTTCCTCCACATATTAGGCTTCTCTTGGAGAACTGTAACTTTGGTGCCATTTCTTTCAAAATAGCCAATCAAGAACCAAGAATGAAAAAAGTAGGAACACCGTATTTGCTTATTTCATTTCATTTAACAAGATGCATATGCTGCTTAATCAACAAAATACCAAATGGCTAATTAAAAAGCAAAGAGTTTCTATCATATTGTTAAGAGACTAAAGGCAAGAGTTATATGCATGTAAGGAAATCATCTGCTAAAGCAAAGAAGAATAAAAGCACATCTCCTGATGTACCAACTTTACAGGAGTTGACATGAATGTGTATCTGAGTTAGAGAGATGTCAGTCTGGCTTTCAAATATTGTCACAGCTGCTACATTATGGGGTGGACAGGCTGAGGCTTTCTTCCAGATGAGTGGGCTAGAAAGCACTTCTTGATGAGTTAACTGTTGGTGGGGTCTCTGTCAGCAAAAAACAATGAAAATGTCACCACGGAACATTGTGGCAAGTTATATAATCTGACAGAGAACATGGAGATCAACTTTCTGACATGAACTCATTCTAATTTGATGGATCGAGCTGCATGGGAGCACCAGCAGAAGTGCTGGATTGGCTCTGCCAGTGTACCTGCTCAGCCCTGACATCACTGCCCTGCCCTGCCCCAGATTGGCAATTGCAGCAAGAAATGTCTTTGGAGTATCAATGAGAATGATGAGAGGTTCCTTATTACACAAAAGAGCTGCTGATTGCGGCCATAGTTTAGGTTAAGTTGCAGAGATCAGAAAAGTTTCTGTATGAGAGACTGGAGAGGTAACTTCTGTCCGTCAAGCATGCTTGATTGACTGCTAAGCCCTCAAAGTCATTTTTATGGCTGTGTGTACACTGCGATTTAAAATATGTTTATTCTATAACATAAATTCTACAACACAAAGTAGTCTACAATACAATTTTTTGCAAGAAGGAAAGTTGAATTCTGTTGAATTCTATGTAGATTATGCAAATTTGCAGATTTATCTTGCATTACTTGATCCTGCAATCTTACTGATCTGCATATTTCCTCACTACCATTGGCGGCTGCCGACACAGTCTGAATCAAACTTGCTTTAAAACACAAGAAGCTAAGGCCTGAATTCAGCAGCCATACACAAGTGCTTCTACTTGTGCAATGGGATTCCCCCACAAACACCTATGCACTGTCCAAAACTGGCTCAGAGGGGTGTCAGGAGAAGCCCTGGAATAGCAGGTGGGGAGAGGAGAAGGCAAATTGTTTCATCAAGACAGAAAGGTCAGAACAGTGTGACTCCGTATTCTGTATTTTTAGGCAGCTGAATTTTTAGGCAGCAGAAATGTGGCCATTTCTGCTTTTCTGATCTTCTCGGAAATTGACATGGCTAAAAAGCAAAACAAAACATTACCTCAAAAGTGCTTTGCAAAAACTGCTTTATATTATTGCTTACAATGCCTCTTGATTTTCTGTCATTAATTTTATTGCTATAGTTCATAGGTGGATATGTTTGACTAATAAAAGTCTCCAACCTCTAGAGAAAGTGAAAGATGTAATGGAGTGAACAACAGACAGTAGAAGCCAGGAAGAGAATATAAATTACGAGGGAGAATGTTTCACTTCAAAGTGCTGCAAGAGTAGCTTATTTTAGAAGTTATCCCCTCAAGGGAGTTTGGACTTTCTTCTCTGGCAATCAGCTAAAGTTGTTGATGCCAAATGTGAATTAAACATTATATCTGCAGTTTGCTGAAACTGCCTTAAGTAAGACTCCCCACGTCCTCCCCCAATTTTCTCAGGCTGCTCAGGATTTGATAGAACAAGAAAACAAACAAAAACCAAACAGGAGTTTCAAATCAAGCGGAGGAATGTAGCTGCCTGTCAACTGTCACCCTAGCTGAAGAACACCCCGGCCCCCGACAATGCACAAGGAAAAGCCTCAGTGCATGGGCAAACATTTTCTTGCTAGTGTAGAATGAAAGCAGCAAAGAGAGCTTACTACTTCTTCCTTTGCACCTTCACAAAATCCTCTTTATCACAATTGGCATTGTTGCCCTCATTATGACAATCCAAATATCATCTGAAGAGCTTGGGAGAAAGGCATCTCTTTATGCATCCAGAGCAGACCTCCACTACAGTAGTACCTTGGGTTACAGACACTTCAGGTCACAGACGCTTCAGGTTACAGACTCCGCTAACCCAGAAATAGTACCTTGGGTTAAGAACTTTGCTTCACAATGAGAACAGAAATCGCGTGGCGGTGGAGGCAGCAGGAGGCCCCATTAACTAAAGTGGTACCTCAGGTTAAGAAGAGTTTCAGGTTAAGAACGGACCTCCAGAACGAATTAAGTTCTTAACTCGAGGTACCACTGTATTCTTTGAACCAAAAATTGGAGAGTTGGAAAGAACCATGAGGGTTATCTAGGCCAATCCCCTGCGATGCAGGAATCTTTCATCCAGCATGGGACTTGAACCCCTGACCCTAAGATTTAGAGTCTCATGTTCTACCAACTGAGCTATCCCAGATGTCTTCTATTGGTTTATGTGGACTTACTTTTATAGTAGTATAGTATAGGTAAGCCTTACCCCTGAAATATGTTCATTCCTTCTCTGAGCTTGTATAGTCAGCTGGGAATATAGGCACATAACTTACTGCCTCAATCTGAGACAGACCATTGCTTCATCTAGCTCAATATTATCTACAACCACACCCAGTTGTTTGTTTGTTTCACCTATTGCAGGACCAGTTTGCACCTGCCTGCGTTCATTCCTCTCCCCCAAAAAGGGAAATCACAGACATAGTAGACGGAAAGATCTTGTACAAGGCTTACCACTGGATGTTTCTTCCAAGTTAATTGTAGTGGTTGCGTAAACAGAATGCAGAAAATGACAACGCATCCACTCACATTCTATATTTTGTTTTTATAAGCATTCCCAATAAAATCGCATCTCTCTCTCTCAGGCTATGTGTGCCATTTCCTCCACCTAAGGGCATTGCTTTTCTTTGAAACCTGCATTCTTTTCACAAAGTCCTTTGTATTTGCAGCATAGTTTCCCTTTCCATTTTATAACTTGCACCTTGCTCCTCCATTCAAATGCCGCTCATCCAAGGCCTTTGGAAGAAGGGCTCTTCTTCCCTCAGAATAGGACCAAAGCCCATTGACAGCCAGATTGTATTAAATGTGGCACTGCAAGCATGTCGCACCACGTACTGTTGGCAA